ACCTGAGGAAGGCGTCCACATATGAGAAAAGACAGGAGGAGAGAATCCCAGGGCACTGCCTCAGTGAGACTTGGGCAAGGGGAGAGCCCCGACCACCTGGCAGCCCTACCCTGCAGCACCACCACTGAGGATCCCTCCCTGCTGCTGGGCCCCACAGCTCCCATGCTGCCACCTGACTCTGCAGCCCCACCCACACAGCTGCCGCCTGGCCCTGTGGCCCCACCCATGCAGCCCCCACCTGCTGCCTGGAGGGAACTGCCCACGCAGTCCAACATTCTGCCAGGGACCTACTAGCCACAAGCCACCATCACACCTGAACCCAGGTGGAGTGAGCGCCTGCATCCCTGACACCCATGACCACTGCCTAGATAGCCTCACCCAGCGGCCACTACCATTTCCACAGGGAAACCAGGGCAGAGTAATCTACACAATGCCAGCCTCTGTGGAGAAGGACATGCCCAGCCCCCCACCTGAGCTTTCAACAGTGGCGTGGGGAACAACACCACTCCACACGAAGAGCATCCAGCACTGGCTTGGAATACTATTCTGGTGATAGACACACTGAAAGCCCCGGCTTAAGCATTATACAAGATATACATGTAACAGAACATTTGTACCCCCTTAATATTTTGAAATAAAAAATATTAATAAATGTCTATTGAGTTACTTTAATAGCATTTACTGAATAAATAGAAATTGATTTCATTATATATTGAATTCTAACATAGATACATAGATTCATTTCTAAATATTATTTTTTCTTTTTATTATTTTTTTAATATCTAGTAGAGCCAGTGCCTCATCTTTATTTAGCATTTCTATTATGGAGAGGCTACATTGTCACTTTTCTGGCATATTTTTCATTCCAATGAGCTTTAGAATGGTTTTGTCATGTTTGATGTTTTTAAGATCCTACAGGGATTTTGAGTGGGATTATATTTAATATAGCTATTAATTTAGGAAAAAAATTACATTTTTCAAGTATTGAGCTCTCTTATGTTAAATTAAGGCAGGTTTATCCTTACTTTTATTTTACATGTCTCAGGCAAGTTTTATAGTTTTTTATCAATTTCTGCAAATTTCTTATCATGTTTAGGTGTATGTTGTATGGTGCTATTGTTACTGGATAACAATTCTATTGTATTTTCTGTCTGATAATACTAACAGAAACAGTAATAATAATATAGTAATAATACTGTATGCTTCCTATTAGTACACAAATCAAGTACGAATACTCTCTAAATGTACTTTTCCAGTTACACAGTACATTATATCTCACCACAAATGTATGCTGAGCATGCACAAATACTAAGTTTTTTGAAGCTCCTGCCTTTCTAACAAGTACAATTCATAGAAAAGACTAGCACTAATTAAATAATCACATAACTCTATAAAACATTGTAATCTGTGTTATAAAGGAAAAGTACAGGGTGCCAAGAAGACTTATGATAGGGAACTTTATCTTACGTGGGTGTGTTGAGGGGTGAGGAGCGCAGGAAGTGTTCTGTGGGGACATGGCATTGAGTAGGGCTCTGAAGGTGAGCACTAGTAAACTGGACTAAAAGAATACATAAACAAGTGGTCTTTGGAAAGACTGGGAACCTACTAGCTTTTAGAAAATGAACAAAAATCTATGTAAGTGGAGCAGAAAGTATGGCAGACAGCAGCATAATGAAACCTGAGAAGTAGGCAAGATCCAGGTCATGCCAGTACTTCATAGTTTGAGGATTCCTGTCTTTATTCTAGAAGACAACAGAAAAGCTTTTTAAGATGAGTGTGTGTGTGTGTGTGTGAGTGTGTGAGAGTGTGTGTGTGTGTGTGTGTGTGTGTGTGTGTTGGCTGGGGTGGGGAAACTACAGGTGACATATTCAGATCTGTATTTCAATTGATCACTCTGGCTATAGTGGGAAGAATGTACCCAAAGAGGGCAAGAGTGGATGCCTAAAAACCTTTCAGAAGGCTACTGAGAGCGCCCAGGTGAGAGACAATGATTATGTAGACTAGAATAGTGGCAGTGAAAATGGAGAGAAAAGTGTGGCCTTAAGGATTATTTAGAGGGCAAAACTGCAAATACTTAGCAATTCCAGGACTCTGGCATGGCGAGAGTGAGAGAGGTGACAGGAATAGCTCTCAGGTTTCTGGCCTGCCTAAATGGATGGAGGATGAGGCTATTGTCTGAGACAAGGAATCTAGAACATAAATCAACTTTGACTCAGAAATATCCTAAATTTGTTTTTGAACATACAGAGCTACAGGTACCTATGAAACTCACATGAAGATGGTATGTCAGACATTTAGATATGCATTTCTCAAGCTCCCAGGGGAGGTTCAGGCTGGGTATATGTATTTGGAGTTATTAAAGGTGTGGGCATGGTTAAGGAAGGGCAGGTGATGAGAGAGTATTGAGTAGGAAGGTAAAGAGAATAAGATTGGTCCCTGGGGAACACCAACACTTAAATAATTGGATAAAACCATGCATTTACAAAGAAGGCTAAGAGAAAAAGCTGCTCTTAAATGAACCAAGCCATTTGGATAAAAAATCAGCCTCCAGGCCTGCCCCATGCTCCCTCTTGTTGTCACATCACTGTTTAGTTTGTCGTTGCTGAACCTCAGCCCCAAAATTGACTTTTAACAGATTATTCTTAGTTTCTTTTGAAATTTTCATAATTTCAAAGAAAAATTCTTTCTCAAGATGCTCTTTATTCATGGTGGGATAAGAACTTTAAGTGTGATCACGTCAATCATTGGGCTTTTTTTTTTTTCAGATTCTTTAGTACTTGCTTTCTGACATATAACACCATTTTCTTCAGAAGGGTTGCTTTCTATAATTTCCTTGAATCTTTTTCCAATTTGGAACAAATTACATTGAATCTGGCCAGAATTTATCAAATTTTATCTTATGAGTTTGTGACTTTTCCAGCATTGCTTATGCTTTACTATTTTTCTTCATTTCTGTTAATTTGGGTATTTTTATTTGTATTTTAAATAAATAAATAATAAATTAATGCCACCATGCTCCTCAGATCTAGACTATCACACTTTTGATAATGTAGAATTTGAGTTGCCCATGGGGCATGAAGGTAAACAAGTCCGCTAGTGTAATAAGACCTCTATATCTAGAACATAGGTAAGAAATCTGAGGGCTTAGGAATGGTGTGGGTAGCCTTGTCTTTGTAGCATTCCTGAGCTTCAATTAAAACTGGTGTTTCTGTAGTTGGAAATTATTAGAGTTTTTGACTTAACAGAATTACTACATATTTCTGGCTCATCTATCTGAACTTACACAATCCATATGGGCTAAACTTAAAGGAAGTCCAACAAAAGTCACATATGTATTTAAGGATATAAATATTCAAATTCAAGATACAGAGCCCAAATAATAACCAATTTGGGAAAAATGAAATAAATATTGAAAATAAAACTCTGAAAACATTTAGGCTACATTCATATGTGAGATACTTTGAGACATATGTTTTATTATCACAGTTTATTAATCCATGAAAGATCTATTGCTTTCCCTTTGTTATCAATAATACTACCCTGACATTTTTAAGGGCATAGACGGTGATAATTAGTGTCATGTTGCCTTTTTGGGTGATATTGCAGATAGATTTTTGTTTATAAGCCAGTACATACATGACAGAAGGTATGTGCTGTATCTTTTAAACAAATGGCAAACAAAGAATATCATTACACCTTACATTTTACTATTGAAAATGAAATGGATCTAATATGTTCAAAGGAATTCCACAAAACGAAAACCACTGACATGACAAAAGCGTGCATTTAATTTGATGCTTTGCAGAGATACATGACCAAAGTTGTGTGCATGGCTTGTCCTTTGGGATGGTCCCAGTTGTTTATTTTTAAAGAAAAATTAAAAATAGAGGCAACAAATGCAATTTAAAAAAAGTCTTGAGACAAAAGGGGACCTACATGTTCCAGTCTAAGAAACATGCAAGTATTACAAAGCATTCCAGACACAGCATGACAGAGGAACAGTGAGAGGCACTAGAACAATGCTCTTTCTCTCAGAAACGGGATTTCTAACAGTTGTTTTCACAATGGTAGTGATGAAACCATCTTTATTTTTAAAGAATTTTAGAGAAAGAATTTTAGCACCATCATTGAAGGAAAAACAATAATAATACTTTTTAGCCCTGCCTATCTCTAGTCTTGGAATAATAACAGAAGCATAGCACCTTTCAGTATCTAAAATATAAACAAGAACAGTAAGTCCATCCCAGCTTCTAGAGATGAGGTAGCTCATGCTAAGAAATGTTGGGTCACTTTTCCTATGAAAGTTCAAAGGCCAATGGTCTAATTCCAATCATCACATTTGATTAGCGTCAGCTCCACGAAACTGGGTTTCTAGATTTTTTTCTTCATTGTAGGCTTCAAAATGATGAGATCGATACATGTGGAAGAGTTTCAACTTAGGGTCCTGGACATGTTTATTAAGTTCTATATGTAAGTTATTTTGCATTCAATATCTTCTTAAATAAGAAATTGCAAATGTATTAAATGGTATATTAGTGTAACTTCTATCTGTATTGACAGGTTGAGTCAAGTGGAAAAAGGTGTCTTTAAATCTGAATAAGAAAGAAGTCTAAAGTTATCACTCCTTACAAAAATTTAAAAAGTTGAAATAATTTCACTTTGTTCTCCTAAAATGCCATTGAATATATATTATTTAAGAAATCCATTTAAGACAGTGAGAAACTGGTATTTTTAAAGATTCTCTTAAAGAGTCTCTATAATAGTTACACAATACCAAGATATGTATGTGAGCCTCAATCACAAGGTTAAACATTTTCATGTCATTTTTAATTAATAATCTGGGAATGAGAGGTCACAAAAGAGCACTACTTCTTATTTTCCAAACTGTAGCCAAGCAAAATAAACATGTGTTATGGTTTTATTTACCCCACTCCTTAAGCTACCTGCCAGGAAGAAGACTTTCCTCATAAATACCAAGCAACTTTTTCATTACATCGAAATAAATTGAAGAAAACGGAGATTTATTTATTTAATCAATTTACTTTTTTAAAAGGTGGTCATTGTCATTGGTCATCTTAAACCTAAACTGCTGTATTGAAAAATATTTTAAATCAATTAAAATTTGAGGATTGTAAGTAAAATAAATATTCTGAAGGATAAGGAAGCCAGGCACTTAAGACCATATATACAATGCTGATGCAGGATCAGCCATTACTTCAAGAGTCTCAGGATCAACTTCAAACAGTCAAAGTTCTTGTGAATGGTTGTTGTCATTGATGGTGGTGCTCGTTGTTGATGTATCTTGGCTTACTTTACACAAAACAAACTGGCCCAACTTCAACGCCAAATTCCTGGTCTGTGTTGCCAACATCCACAGGGGCAATATCTATAATGGGCAAACGCGCCACCTTCTGTGTTCTATATTCAAAGACAGTCTTGCCCACATTTCCATTTCGCTTCTGGAATTAAACAGTGCAATGGGTTAAAAGTATATACAAATTTTTCCAAGGATGTTAAACAGCAACCTCCCCAGCCAACGTATATGATGTATAAGGAGTGATTTTTAGAGCTCTACTTAAAAGAGCACGGGTAATATAAAAGTAAGGTACTATTGCACCTATCACTATGTGTGATAGGCATTTCTTTGATACTTTTAAGTGAGTAAATTCCTTTGTTCTTTTTTAGCTTCCCAAATGGTCACTAACAACATAAATTATGAAAGCTTTTTTGTTTTTCACAAATGAAACTACAATTTACCATTCAATATTTTCCTCGTTTTATATCTAGATATGCAAGTAGGGAGACTTACAAATCAGTGAAAAATGTAAGGTATCTCAGATTGATTATATGTTTTAGAATCAAGAAATTTTAAGCATGGGACTGAGATCCAGTAAGTTAGATAACTTGCAGAAAAACCAAAGAGTTGGCAGAACTAGATCAGATCTCAGGGATCCAGTCCTTTCTTTATGGTTTTGTATTCAAACCTCTACCATGTTTCATGTGCTAACACACGTTCAAGCTTCCCCTAAAGAATGACTATAAACAAACGGCTGTTGTGCTCATATACAACATACAAAAATAAAATTTTTTCTTCAACAAGATCAACGTGAATCAAAAAGTACTTACAGAGCAAGTATCATGAAGAACTATATATCGGAATCTAACGTTTCCCTCTGCTTTGATTTCTAAATCATTTGCCCCTTTGAGAACCACAGCTTTCCTGAGGTTCTTAGCTTGATCGTCCATGTATCCTACACTGTTTTTACAGATGTAAGTAATGTTCTGGGAGGCTTCTTTTGATAAAAGGCGTAAGAAGGTCATCTGAGTAATGGCTGTATTAGGTGACTGGTAGTCCCCATAAGTAAACTGAGAAAACAAAGAGTCTTTGTTATACACAATACTGAAGAGTTTCATAATACTTTACATGTGTATAGATAGATAGATAAATTGATTTCAAACAAATGAATGTTGAAGAGTATTACTTTAATTCTTGTTACATAACAAGCTACTCTACCTTTACACATAAAAATATCTTAAAATTTCTATAAATACTCACAAGTAAGAACCTCTGTCCTTACTACCTCAAACAAGAGTTAATAAAACCGATAATAACTATAATTCACCAAAGGAAGCATAAATGTTCTAAATCTTTTTTAATTATACATCAAAAATAACTCATTATTTTTACTATTAACTATAATAAAAATTAGGAATAAACTATTGGTTTAAAACGTTTTTACTCCAACTGTTATATACTTGTAAGAAACAGGAATTAAAAGTTTTCCATTAGCAAACAAAAATAAATAAATAAAATTTTCCACGGACTCCTTCCTATTCATCTTCTACTTTGAGCTTTGTTTTTAGCACTCCCTTTTGAGTTTTTAAGATAATACTATATTGGCTAAATTACATTTCAACTGTTTATACTTAAATTTTAAAATTTCCTGCTCATTAAGTAATGGTGTGTTCTAGCATATCTTGCACACACCCATAATGCTCTCATATAACGTTTTTTCTGAACATGAGTTCTGGGGAAAGGTCAGGAGCAGAGGTGAGAAGCAAATTTCAGTTAGGCTGACACAAAGACCTAGAATGAAATATTCATATTGCAATAGGAAGTAGCAAAGCCAAATGAGAGTCTGAACACTGGGCCATGCTAGAAACTTAGGGTAGATTGGGACTCAGAAAATAGTAATCAAATTCACATAATTACAAAAATGCCTTAAGTTTAAATAATATTACATAGTTTATAAAATGATTCAAATATTTAAAAAAAATTTTATAGTAAATTTATTATCTAATGTTTATTTACTACTTATCATACAGTACTAGACACTACACGAAGTATTTTATATTCACATGGAGACTATGGGATGAATATTATAAACATTGCCCTTCACTTCAAATCAGCAAAACTGAGGCTCCAAAAGGTTGAGCAGCTTTATGAGGTCCCAAAGTCAGTAAGAGATCCAGCTAAGAGTCATTGATGTCTCCTGAAGCTAAATATATAATAATAACAGTCTTTCTACTGAGACAAGATCCATTTAAGTACAGTCCACAGTTAGTGCCATATATCTTAAAGGAACTAATAAGAAAAATAATTGCTTTTTTATATTCCATCAATGGGAAAATTATAATTCAAAATTTGTTTAACTCACAGTAAAATTGCGTTTATGCAATGATATTGCAATTGTAACTAATGAGAATATATCATTTCAAAATAAATATAGTAAAATAAATAATAGCATAGTCCTAAAAATATACAAAAATACAATAAAGAATGAAAAGTAAAGAATGCAATTTTAAGTAAGCACATCGAATTACCTGAGATCCTCTATTCATATCAAGACCATACCAAATAGGCTTATGGTCAGGAGATTTACTGGCCCACCAGGTTTTACGTGGTATACTGGATGGGTTTGCTGAAATACATGTTTCTCCTGTGTCCATGTTGCAGTAAACTTTGATTGCATCTTCAACAGATCCCTGGTTAGGATCAATCCAGTATTCACCTATTTTTAAAAATAAAAATTTTGCTAAATAAAAAAAATCTCAAACATGATTATGAGTCTCCAAAAGAATTAACAGATGGTCTGAAAATATGAACTCACTGATTAAGGACTCTTTTAAAAGAGAGTATGCCTTGAGAAAAAAGTAACTGTTTGGGCACTTTCTATGCATTTGGGGACTTTCTACATGCTAGTCACTGTCATAAGGCACTTTGCAAAGCCATATACTTAAGGGTCAAAATATCCACATAAAGGAAATATCATTCCTCCTATTTTATGGATAAGAAAACAATACCAAAATAGATAATCAACAGTGCGTAAGTAGGCTTTGCCAAAATAGATGTGTTCCCATTAAACTTACAAAGCCAACATTTTAAAGCAATTTATAATTGGAATGTAATAAATAATATATTATCAAAACTATAAATAAATGAATGAGTTTAATTACAATTAGAATAATCTGAATCATCTCATTGGCCCTTTTTAAAATTAATCTTCTCATATAAAAGAGATTCTTGAAATAGGATATACCTACCAAAGCAGTGCTTGGTGTTATACATATAGTGAAATACACAAATAAATATACATTTGTGCATACATGTGCATATATAATTCTGCATATGTGTATATATATGGATAATACATGAAAAATCACATTTTAAATGACATAAGAGTGGTGGGATGTATAGAGTTAAGAATAAAATTGCATATTTTTCAAAGATAAAAATTTTAGCTATTCCTATCAATGTCATTTCAAAGTTAACTGAAATTCTTAAGAATTTCAGAGCTCATTTCTATGGCCTAAGATTCCTCTTCTCCACCTCTTATTCGATTAATTAAAAGGATAGATTAAAGTGAACTTTAAGCCTGGTGCATGCAGGGCAGAAAAACTATTTCATTCCAAAATTCATTAGAATCTCACCATACCATAATCCTGCCAGCAGAGATTCCAAAAGTATGATTCATGGGACACCAAACTACATGAAAGGTATTCCATTTTTAAACAAATTTGGGAAATAATATATACTTTATTCAATTTTTGATGATCATATCATATGTTAGCATATTAAAACTCTGAGAGGTCATGCAGGTAAACAAATATATTTAACAATGCTTAAGCAAGTATTTTCTATATTTATACCACCACAAAATACTTTTACTCCACAACAATTATCAATATTTTAGGACATCCGGATAGAAATGGAACTGCCACCATTACATTGGATTATGAATAGGACATGTCCTCTATTCTAGCACATATCATCTTGTCTATAATTTTTCATATTAAGTGACTGTCTCCACCACTGAACCACAAGCTCTGTGATGTGTTTACCATTTTATCTCTTCGGCCTATCACTACATAGAAAGTCAATAAAATATTTTGGAATGCAGTTGAGAATAACACAATCAGTAACACTGGGTTTTGCTCAAATGGGTCACTGTCTACTCACCACTCTGCTTTGTGGAATGACAAAGTTTTAAGTCATCGCAAGTCCGGGCAGGGTGAGTTTTAGAGCCATCAGGGCTGCGCATGGTTTCAATCTGACTACTGAGTGACTTCAGGGTGGCATGGACACCTGGGTCAGTTTTGTTTTTGTCATCAGGAGCCGCCTGATCTTCAGTAAACTCTGGAAGTGGATCTGGCATGCTTTCATCATAGTGTCCCATGATATCCCCAAGAGCAGCTGTGAGGTGGCCAGGAGGACCTGGAGGGCCAGGTGGGCCAGGCTCCCCAGGAGGGCCCTAATTAAAAAGAAATTGGAAAGACATTCCAATTAACACATTGATTTTGTTTTCCTAAACTGGTGGGACTTGGGATATGTGGCGTTACACTGTGACATGCCAATTTGACAGTACTGGGAAACCTATGGCTCATGCCCGTTTATAACTAGATGGGGCTTGTCTGTCAAGCTGTAATATTGCAAAGAAGAGAAATGATGCCTAACTGTTTTTCAGGCAACATATCTGCAAGTCAGCATCTGAGATAAATAAAGATCAAAGCACAAAATATTTGCTCTGATGTTTACCTTAAAGATACACTATATTTTATTGTTAAGAACATGCAGATACAGGCATTCATTTCCAAACTGTTTTGGGCAAGGTACAACCAAAATGTGTAAAAATATTTTTAGACAGAAGCTGAACAAAGGAGGCAAAAAAGTTGTGGGTGCTGGTTCTGTAAGACACATTAATACCAGGGAAATACCCATAAGAAAAATCCACAAGAGAAATTCTGCCTACTTTCAAATTGGGGGTGGGGAACATAGCAAGTCTTTGCATGTGCATTAATTACTGTGTATTTCAAAACTCTATGTACTAAACAAAATTGAAAAATGTTCTCCTTAGCCTTTTAATTGACATATATAAAGAGCTTTCCCACTTTTTTGCCAAATAAGTACTGGAGTGAGAGGGGAACAAGCACAAAAAGTGGCAGAGGCTAGGAAGTGAATCCTCTCTGTTAATTCCTTTCTGCATTTCCCCAAGGAAGAGCTCAGCAACTTCAAAGACCCAGGTGACAACCTGAAGAGACATATAGTCCACATGTCATGTAGAGAGCAAAACCTGGGAGTCGGAAGATTTGAGTTCTCACATCAGGCTTGGAACTAGTTATATGGCTCCACATGGCGGCCTTAACTTTCAGTGCCAGTGTGTCCTCACCCTCAAAAGGCTCTGAAATATGTGTTTTCCCCCTTCTCAGGTCATATATTGATTCCATGCATTCCTTTATGCTAATCTCAGGGGAAAAGAATTTTTTTTCTGTCAACGACCACTGAACCACAAAATAAAGTCAGTCAAGAGCCACAAAAGTCAAAAGTATTCCAATCCTGTAGTTCTTTTCTATTCACAGTTGGAGAAATAAATAAATCAGTAGGAAACACTCCATTTGCCCCTGGGAAATATGAGGGTATTTGATCTACATAATAAATAATAAATATTCGGTTTAATGGTATTGCCATTAAAAAGTAAAGACAAAAATAGAAGGAGAAAGTGAGACCAAAGAGGAAGAAGCACTAGAGAGGGAAGCACAAGCGCACGTGCACACACACACACACACACACACACATACACACGCACACCCATGCGTGGAAGGTAGAGGAGATGGCCTGAGAAGCAAGAGTCTAAATAATGCAGTTACAGTATTGTGTCGTCCTCTCAAGTCAATACTACTTGAATTTTTTATGACAATTTTTAATTGAACTCCTCTCTGCACATCATTTAAATGGAGAAAAACTTCAATTTCATGCTCTTCATTTCCCAGCATTTTCATGAAGTTTTCATAAAATAGGAACTACACCTTACAGACATTTAGAATACTGCCACTTAGAGAAAAGCAAAATTTTCATAGTTTTAATTATAAACACAATCATAACTTGCTATTTGCTCTCATTGGTATCACATTATGTCACGTCCTGGGTAGCTCGGACTCTGATTTTATAGACTCTAAATAACCCCTATTAAAATATTCAAAAATAGTTGCTACACAGACAAAGTCTTATGTGACTTCTAGGTTTGTTTTCAGGGTCCCTTAATTCTCTTGTCCATCAGGCTGTACAGACAGTACTTGGATGCAATCCAGGCTATCAAATCAACACCACTTCTTGCATGCAAATGCTAGTGACTTTACCTCAGGTCCTGCTTCTCCTATACTGCCCCGCACACCTGGAGGTCCAATTGGCCCAAGTGGCCCAGGGTTTCCTTCTTTACCCGAAGGACCAACTGGGCCTGGAGGACCCTGCAAGAAACAAAGACTGTATTTTAGATTCTATGAAGAAAAATTTTACGATGCCTTTCTCTAATTAAAGCACTATTTTCCATATGGAGTGATTACAATGATTTCTCAGATTCATTTTCTTAATGACTAAGAAATGGACTTCTGATACTTTTTAACATTTATGATTTCATCACACAGGAATTTTCTCTCATCCATGCATAGTAAAAGGCCAATATGTATTAAAAACTTTAATGGAGTAGTCATCTACTTTTATTGGTAGTAATTGTTTCATCAAATCTCAAATATTGCAAACATAGTTGGAAATTCAATTAACTTGACACGAGAAAA